GTCTGTCGCTGGAGCGTCTGTCGCTGGAGCGTCTGTCGCTGGAGCGTCTCCCCGGCTGGGGGTCGTACTTGCAGATTCGACCTCTGGGTGATTGTCAGCTCACCCAAGCTTGAAATTGTATACTGTAACAAACTTACTTTTCATAGCTGTAGCCGCATTATCAATGTTTTCATCTTGGGCTACTTTCAGAACATCACGCAAGAGCTCTTTCGCTTCTTCATGACTTCCCTTATAACCTGGAATATCAAGCACATCAGAGTCCCCAGCCTGCTGCACTCTTTTGACTAGGCTCTTCAACTGTTCAACCAATTTTTTCTTCTGTGAGACACTAAGTTCTCGGGTTCCGTTCTTGGTTGCTTCAGGCAGAGGTCCCTCCTTTTGATCTTGTCCAATATGTTCGATTAGCCCGGCTTCCACTAATTTTGCATACGCAAGGGTAGCTGGCTTAGTAGGCGCCATATTTAATCGTTCAAAATTCTGATATGTATACCAATGTATTACAGGAAGATGTGAAATCAAGAATTCCAGGAGACCACAATTCAGATTCAATTTTCTAGAACTTCGACTTAGTATATATATTGTCTTTCCAGAGCTACCCTCATTCTAGTCATCTATAAGCTGAGCAGTCAAAACTATGAGGATGGTAAAGAAAGTATATAATATAAGTAATGACTAGCACAAATGCAACCCCTTCTACCATGTCTTCAAGCCTTCTCAATAGTTTAGAGACTCCAGCTGTAAATCGCTTGTCTGCTACATTTTCTACTCCCTGTAGATTTGGACATCCTGCATCAGTATTTCTGTATCAACTGGTCAATTAGAAATACATTTTATTCCACCGTGTCAGCTAGCTATGTGCCCACCCAGGAGCCCAAGAGTCCTATGTCCCACATTTGAGTGATGGTAAAAGAAAGCTATCTCAGTAACCATCATGGCAGCTAAAAGGTGTCTTGGTACCTATAGAAAGCCTCCTCAGACGTGGCCATTGTTTGATTACCCCCCCACCCCCCACCATACGTCGCACCAGAATATGAGGGCCTTTCGTTATTTGGCAAGGGATCTCTTCCTGCGAAGGTATTTCTGTTGGATACACCTAAGTAATTTGCTATGTTTGCATTGGAAGGACATCGATGGTAGTAGTGTATTTTTCCCTGGCCCTTGCCATTAGCTGGATTGTGAGTGTAGTTTCATATTTTGCTCTGGCGCAGAGACAAAATTTGCTACAATTATTCTCAAAGTTTATTTGATCAACAAACGTAAGATTGAGGCATGTGAGTCCAACCGATTCCGAGAAGTGCTGTACATAGTCCCGCGAAACAAATTCACTCTATGCAAACTATCACACACGCAAGTGTATAACGTAACCTATAAACGAGCGGGCCAGACAATCGGGCGGGCCACCATGTATTCCATATAAAATAGCACTTTTATAATTCAATTATCTTAACAAC